TTAAATTTTCATTTTCTTCTAATAGTTGTTTATTTCTCTCTTGGAATTCATTTATTGTGTTTACCATGATTTTTTTTATTTATTTGCTCTTTTAATATACTTATACCCTTTTTATGAGGGCATATTAAGTATATAAATTATTTTAGTACTTTTCTATTTTAAAAGTGGAAAAAGCTAGTAATATTTGCCAAAAGATTAAAACTTATTAAATTTAATGACAATGAGGGATAAATTAACAAGTGATGAAGTCATTAGAGGTAATTTTACCCTAAATATTTTATTCATTGCTGATATAGATTGGTCTTGGGCAAGTAATATCTTTAAATTCATCTCTGACAAATGGGTGAATATTATGATAAAGATATTCTTGCCTTTTGTAATCCAAAGGAGGTGGTGTTAAAACTAAAATAGATAAAGATTTAATCTCTTCAAAAATATCTGCTTTCTTAGTTTTCAATAAATTGAATTCAGCAAAAGGTCCATTAGCAATTTCCTGAGCTTTGACCATACCAAGATTAGTTGCTTCAAAAAGAAAATGTTGATATTTCTGTATACTTGGTAATTTCTTAAAATAAATTCCCAAAATTGCTTTAATATCCAAGTATTGAAAACCTTTTCCATCCTTATAACATTGAGCTTTATTTAATCCTGCTGGACTAGACTTTTTTACCACTGCAACCACATGATCCAGACAATCTACTCTTGTTCTTCTGTAGAGTTTTTTAATCAATCCAAAACTACCATCACATTTGAATTTGGTATGTCCTGGAATCATGAAATTCAATTCAGCACTTTCATAATATCCACAAATTACTAAATATAAATAAAATCAAATAGTCACATTATTTTTATTTTGTCCACCAGCATTATCACAAGTAATTTTTAAATATTTTTCACCTTTATTTAATTTTTTAATTCCATCAAAGATAATACTAAGTGTGCCATTAGGACCTTTTCCTATGATTTCATTTTCATTAAGAACATAATTAATTTGCTCCCTTATTGCTTCATCTTGAATACCAAATAAATGAACCTTATATGGACTAAGATAATAGATTTTACTTACTTGTTGATCCAAATGTGGTACATGAACATTTTGAGCTCAATCATAACTATAATGAGCAGTAGCATCAATACTGCAATACTGTGTTTTACCCTTTGAATATTTTTGGTTAACTAATTTTCTTTGTTCTTCTGCTAATTTAGTGTTTTTATTATAATAATTTCTTTCTACTTTGGCCTTGGACAGATGTTCTTTAAATCTTTTAAGTAATTCTTTAGCCTCTTACTCCTGGCGAGCATTGTAATGTAAACCATTTCGAAAATGTTGACAAGTATCACACAAGTCAGTCCTGGGACTCATAATTTGAATCTCTGGTGTTAATTGATGCCATAACTTTCTGAATGCATCATATTTTAAGGACTTCAAATTACTATCTTCTTCTAAACCAGTTAGAAAGTCTCTATAGACTGATTATAACTCATTTCAGCTGGTAAAAAGATAACTGACTGAGTTATTCTATTGATACTTCTGCCTGGACTTGGTAATCCATGGACTTCAGCATAATTTTCCAGAAAATTCTTTACAATTGTGGCAATGTCTTTGTCAATCATCATCTTAGTTTTCCATTGAGGCAACCTTTTAATATTACCATGAACTCTGGGTAAAAGACCATTGTTTATCAGATGATTTCTAATGTTTTCAAAATAAGTCCTACCAATTCCCAGCATATTGAGATAAGTTTCTTGACAAAGAAGTGTATTGTGATCCCAGTGATAGAAAGTTCTTTTATTAGATCTAGTTTTCTTTTTAAGGCGTCTACTGGTGCTTATTAATCCCCCATCCATTGCTTTAAGTTGAGCCATTAAAAATATGTCTTGCTCTGTTTTAGAAAGAGCTTGAAAAGATTCCCTTAATTCTGCAAATTCTTCCTTGGGAATTTTTGAAGAACAACCACAATTAAACCCTTTTCTAAAAAGTTGAGTGCCTTTTCATATTCATTAGAACCATTGTATTTATTATTTTTGTTAATGTTTTTCATATATACACTTATCCCTATATATAATTTATGTTCACTTTGTGAGTTTTTTATAACAGAGCTGTAACAATTAAATTTATTGTTATTATTTTATTTTGTTATTTATTTTGTCATAACTCAGAAAAGAATAATATTAATATTAACATTGATTATTCCTATTTTTGCAGACAAAAGTTACGCATTTTTGATATTAATTAGTGGACAATAATAATACTGGAGAGCAGTGTTGGAAATTTTATGCCGGGGTTTGTGCTACATTAAAGGTAGCCAATAATCTATTAGCAGGATTTGTGCAGAA